ACCAACTTGGGAACTTGTCACCTCGGTGCTGGCACTTGACATCCATTAATCAATCAGAAGCTTTACTTCCGAGGCATATTTCCTTGACTTTGGTCGGACACCACACACTGGGACAATTAGCACCCAGCTTCCCAGATACATGCGTTCCTTTGAAGGACTTCCTGTTAATGAAAGTCAGGTCCTGTTTTTTGTCATCTCGTCCTCGGGCTTTTTTGGAGGGCACTGGAACAGGGGTGGCTCTCAAAAGGAGTTATAAAAACAAAATTCGCAAAAATAAAATGATTAATAGCTATCTTTCTTCAAGACTTGGTTATTCCTTTAGTTACGTTAGAATAAAACCACTATGTAAAATTTTGATTACTGAAAATTGAGTATTTGAAACACTCGTATTAAAGCTCCCCTCTAGATCTTTAGTCTGCACGTCTCTGAGCCAACTTGCCTCATCAGCCCTCGCTTCATTAGCCGCACACTTACAAAGGCCAATGCCAAAAGGTGAAAACAAAAACTGTGTATGTACTTATATTAAAGGAAAAGCTGCTACTACTTATAGACAATAAACAAAAAAAAGAAGAAAAGAAACACTGCCACAAGAGCAGGTCAAAGTTTCACAAAAGAAAAAACTTTCAAAGAGGCAGTAATAACAAAAAAACGGAAAAAAGCTGAACAGTTCTGACAAAGCCAAAGGTTTAATACGCTGTCTCTAGTAAGTTATAGTAGTTGACTATAACACATGAATATTTTAAAGAAAGAATTTATTAATTTAAAATATTTGTTTGTAAAAATATATTTCTTGGCTTGGAAGATGAAAGGAACTTTATAAAAGGGTATATTAAATATATTGATAAGGGTATCCCTCTTTTTCCGGAGCTTTGACTTAAAATATGAAACAACTTCAAAAAAAGTAGATGTATAAATTTTTTTAAACCCAAGGCTGTCTCAAAAATAGACTTTAAGCATTTAGCTATTTTCTTCTTCGTCTATCAGCACTGGTTTAAAGTCCTTCCGTATTCCTGCCTCACCAGCTTTGTTGTTGGTCGTCCTGATCAGCCTGTGGCTGATTGATCTCGTGGGAAATTTTGCACAGTTGATGCAACCAAGAGCAGCAGGGTCTAAGGCAAAAAAAAAAAAACAAGGAAATAAAACGTAAGTTTTCCCTCCACTCTTCATTATATTGCTACTTCTTTTATTTCAGTTTTTCCGTTTTGTTTTTCCCGACGGTTTTTCGTCTCGTTTCTTTGTTCATCCAGTGGCGCACACGAAAATTAACTTAATGTCACTTACACTTTAGTGCTTTGGGTTAATTTGGTTAGATTATTGTTAATATCCTTTGGGGTGCTTTGAGACAAAGTCTAACCGTCTGTGTGTGCCTGGGCACAAGTGTGAAATCGGAGGAAACTCTCGCTGAAGAGTTTTTTGTTCCGAGCTGAGGGAACATTAAGAGCTTAGGCAGTTCTAAAGTTTTTCACATAAAAATGATGCATCGCCCTGGTGGCAACTTTGTGGATTGTTTTTTAGGCCTTCTGAAATTTGACAAATACATAAATATTTCTATAAAGATTTTGGTAGTTTGTTTCGGCAATAAAAAAAATAAATAAATTTTAAAATAATATATAAAAGTATTAAAAACGGCTGTACCTGAACTTACAGATTTCTGTATAGAATATGGTGGATTTTTCTATTAGTCTTATTAAAGCTTTTCATAAATGTTTACATATTTTTTTCTAAGCTTTTGAAAATTTTAACAATTTTTATCAGCTTATAGGCACGTGTGGGCGCTAAAAACTTTCTGTGGAAAAAGAGTCCTCTCCGTTTCCATAAGTCAATTGAAATTTATTACACGACACACACCCCACATTTTCCCCTGTGCAAATACTTTGTTTATCTCTTAAAAAATATTTATATATGGGGCGTCTGAACATCCACCTCCATATTCGGTCTTGGCATAATAATTTACAAAGCATTTCACGCATCGCTTCGCCTGCCATCTGCATTAGCCGCAAAGTCAGTTTTTTGTTAAAAGGAATTTCGTAGCGAACGAATAAATATGTTTTTATAACATAAATATAAGTAGGTCTTCTGATCTATTGCCTATTTTTGGTTCATTTTAAAAGAGGCTCAAGTTAATTGTTTTGGAGAGCCCAAGAGTTTGGGTAATGTACAAAATGGACATTATTCTGATTTCAGAAACAATTACCTAATGCATGTGTCACTGTTCCAAAAATAAATACCGTCTAGAATTTAGTAAATCAAAATATTATAGACGTGGCTAAGGGTCATGCAGTCCATAAAATTTAGAATTTTCGAGACTTTTTATATGAATTTTTTTTTACATTTTCTGAGGGATCCTCTTCAAAAATATTGAAATTGAATGAAAATCTAGTTTAATAGTTCCACTGGTATATAGTTACACTAGTTAAATATGTTCCTTTCTTTGGAGACTGGCGCTTAACCGATCCCTTTAAGATAATATCTTAAAAAAAGGATACATATTCGTACCTTTAATAAACCAACAAATATTTAAAATGCATTTTTCATTTTCTTGGGGAATGGCATGAAACAATAAAAAATCACGTGGATGTGTACTCATTTTTATGACATCCACAGGAATGGATGTCACTCAGCGGCATGTTCGTCTCCGCCTTCGCTTCTTTTCGAATTACACTTTCATTTGTATGCAGGGATGCGGTGCCCTTCTATGCGATTTTCATAATTACATTAAGCATATTAAAGGCTCTCCCGCTACTCCCAGAATTCTCATTCAGTCAGGGCCAGCTAATAATGTGCCATAAAAGATTTTTTTAGAGCTTTAAGTAAGTGTCTTTACATAGCGGAGTATGTGGAACAGTCTTTTAAACTTACTATAGTATGGAATATGTGATGGGGATTAGGGAAAAACGTCCATACTAGGCTTAGGAAATGGACTAATTGATGAGGTACGACATTTACGGTGGCTCACACTAATTCCTTTCACACTAAGCTGAAAACATAATTCTTAATTAGGGTTTATTAATTACCCCTTACTATGTAATTCGGTGTTGACTTTTCTTGAACCATTTATTAAGAATTATTAATTATTTTTGACATTTTGCTTGACACATGAACAATTTAATTGAATTTTTTTTAATAAGAAGTTTTAGTAAAACTATTTTTAAGAAAATTTAATGCGCCCATAAGATTTTATTGAGGAGCTTTACAAAAAAATCTAAGACACTTACTGACCTATAGGATCTTCCTGACTGAGAAGATTTATGTACTTCTAACCGTAATTTTAAAAGGGTTATAATTTAAAACTTTTATTTTACATAAGATTATTTCCTGTTCAGATGAAGCTAACGTTTATATTCCCCATATTCCTCCGTATTTTGGGACAAATGGAAGTTATTTTCGTTCATTAAGCAAATACAGACAGCCGTATAAAATTTCCCAAGAAGGACTGCTGTTAAGATTCTGTTAAACACAAGCACCAGTATAATTTCCCAGCTGCCTTTCTCTCGCTCCAAGGATTTCCTGCTGGCACTTCGGCAGTTTCGTCAGGATATGAGAGAGCAAGAGAGGAGAATGTGGCCGCCAGAGACGGAGAGAAAGCCCGATTGGTCACGAAAGGACCTACTTTCTGGGGCGATGCTGGCGACGATGACGAGAAAAATCAGCAGTTTCATTGATAACGCGCAACGAATTGGATCTCAGACACACGCCGGTCACGACCTGCACTGTTCCACAAAGTCGTGAACAAGGCTGCAAAACAAATACAAAAAAAAAAGGACACTAGTCCCGAGTACACCAACAACAAAATAAGACTCCTTGCGACTCACAAGGCAAATTTATAAATGCCTACAGGCCATCCGACATAGATTCGTGAATTTTTTCGGTTTTTGCAAGGCTTACACTCCTCCAAGTTATCCAAAAGTATTCAATTCGTAAATTCTTCGGCTGTTTTTCCAGAGCGCGTGTGTTTAATTGCATAGACGAGTGCGGAAAATTATACCACGGGCAACATTAACCAAATTAATTAATTTCGTGCAATATGCATTTTTAAAAACAGTTCATGCCGCTATAATTAGTGTAAAGAAAAACGGGAAGGACCCAGGAAAATAAATCTAAGAATAATATTGTTTCTTTTTTTAACTAACTGGTAAGTTATCTTATATAAAATTAGGTTTTATTTTTAGTTTTAGTTTGGCATTTATAACAAATGCTTCTTTTTTTAACCTTCAATCACATGCTGGACCTTTTTAACGCATTTCAATTAAATTCATATTAAAATTTAATTAAACAGGAAGCACCCACAAAACGGCCACTAATTAGTTTGGCCTGCCTCGCCCAATGGCCCCCAAGACATCCTGTGACCTTTGCTTGGCCCAAAAAAATATAATAGTCTCTCTTATATAGGCAAAAAAACAAACAAGAAAATACAAAAATAAGCCCAACGACCTAATTTAACTTTGGGTTTAAGGGAGCACAACGAGTCAGATTTGTTTTGAGTTTTTTTCCCCCATTTAAAGCGTCGACGTTTCCATTCAACCTTTTCAACAATTTTTTCTTCCGGCCACACTGATTTATCTAAATTCAACGTAGTGGCCATGGCAGCTTCTCACATCCACAATTTACATGAGCAAATATATTTTATTTTTGTTTTCCCGCGCTGGGCAATGTGGCCAAGGGGCCCCTAGGGTTGCTCTCCGGTCTCCTGTCGTCCAGTTGGCGTCACATAAATTTCTATATATTTTCCGCCAGTTTCCCCCAGCCCAGCGGCCTCAAGCATAATCCTTGGTGGGCTGACAGTGACTTAATGAGCTGCGGAAGTTAATGTGCAACTTAGTCCAGACTTGTTTCCATTTCTACTGGCGAACTTGTTTGCATATTTGGGTTAATTTTTTTTCTGCCGTATGACTAGCTTTTTTTTGAAACCCTCGCCTTTGTTTTTCTGACCTACTTCTGGTTTAATTAACTTGCTTAGCCATTTACCCAGCCCAAGAAAAATATTCAAATTGTTTGGGGTGTGTATTTTTGTAACCATTTTATTTTTCAACTTATCTATTTTATCGAATTCCGTAAGTCTTCATTGTAGTGTAGATTTTCGTCATATCAGCTATGGCAGCTACAAAATCTGAAAGCCACCAAAAAATTTTAGTTTAATAGGCTGGTAGGTTTAATAAACACTTACTATATGCGTTTTTTTGGTGGGATATGTGATTGCGTTTATCTGTATGCCAATTATCAGTGGGTGAGTGTGGGATAAATCAGCTGAAACCATTAAAATTTTTAAGTTTTATAGTTTAATAGTCTGGTAGAATAAAACTTACCGCTAGGCAACGGTAACGAATTTTGGAATATGAGCATAACGAATGTGTCTTCAGTGTTGAGCTTGAAAATAAATTGATCGGCCACCAAAAATTTTAAGCTCAGTGGCCGGGTAGTACAAGGTGGTTTCTTTGGACAAACGTATGGGCGAGTGCGTTCAATGGTTTTGAGTGTGAGCTCTAGATAGCGAAGTTTAGTTTGAAGCAGTCTTAAACCATTAAAATATTTAAGTTTAATTAGCCTGGTAAAGTAAGTAAAAAGTAAAAACTTACTACATAGGTGTGGTAATGTGCGATGTGGTAGTGGTGCTGTGCGATGTGGTAGTGGCATGTGAAGGAAAAGTCTAAAAGAGAGTCTTCAGAGTAAGTTATCTCTCCATTGGTGTTCGCCTTGAATCTGTATCAGAGTCTGGATCTGGATCAAAATGATAAAGTTTAATAGCACCCTAGGATAGGTAGACACTTACCATATGGGTGTGCTTGATTGAAACTTCTGGCCGAGCGTGGATCTTGGATGATAAAAACAAACTAAGAAACTAATCTGAAACCATTAAAATATTGAAGTTTAATAGCTTTGTTTAATAATAATTATTCCAGTAAACACGTACCGAAGGTGTATGCTTGGTTTGAGGTGAGTTATATGGACCAAATCCTTTTTAGTTTAGCAGTTTTTTTTTTTATAACGAAAAGGGAACGAAATTTAAATGGTCTTATAAATAAATAAGAGAAATATTTTTCACTTTATGCTTAAAACTAAAATTCACTTTTTACTTAATTCTAGCCGAAAATTAATTTAATTTTGAATAAATAGCCGAAATAATACAGAGAATTTTGAGGTGTTTACGGGTCGAGATCCCGAAATAGACTGAATATTATAGCTCCCGTTCGACCTTAGGTGCGATTGAATTTGACATAAGTGATCCATGGCCTACTTGGTTCTGGAAAACTATGATATTTTCACAGTCTATGGTCCGTTTGATACTTGGATCAAAATAATAATGTTGTTACTGTCAAGAAATTCCAAAGTTGGCGCCAAGAGCCCCCCGGGTGTGTACTGTACAGTACATCCTTATAGGAGGTCCAAGAAGAAAAGAATTTGTCAGAACGACTGTTGACTTTTGTGGCCTTACAATGGGCAACCAACGCGTTCCTCATACGAAAAGGAGGGAAATGTGTAAATACCACTCAGCTACAATCAATAGAAAAGAAATTTTTGTGCAAACACGTTCCTTTCTCCTCAGCCAATTTTCTTTTATTCCTGCTGTTTTTCTTCTGCCGTTCGTTTTCATCTTATAACATTCGTGCAAGATGCTCGGTGGCAGTGCTAGTATCAGGAAAAAAGGACCTCTTAAAGGGTGTGGCGACAAACCGAATATATCCAGCAAATCAGTGGGGGGAATTACTCTGTACAACTCTCCAAAGACTCTGCAGGCTGCCTGCTTGCCCCCTTTTTGTATACTCGGGTTCATTAGCGTCGGCTAGTAAATATTTACCTGAACAGCCTTTTTCTGATTCGTTTTGGCAAAGCACCTCACATAAATACCCTTTAAAAACTCGAATATCCCAACTTTGTTATCCAATTTTAAAAACAAAACCTTTAATGCATTGCTGATTTATTTTTGAATGTTAATGGTTCACCGCCAAATCATATACAATATAAATAGTTAACTGATGCATATGAAATATACAAATTTTAGATGAGATTCTTAAATCCGGTCGATGCTAGTAATCGATAGGCTTGGTCCGCAAATGCAAGGGTCCAACGGGCCGTACCTTTCCACAATATTGTCTTTGACCGCTTCAAGGAGAGCTACCATATTATAGGGCTTTTTGAATAGTGCTTTCGGAAGAATCTTTTCACCATCGCCACTCCACTTTTGCATACTTGCTACGATATGCTTTAAGAATCTCTTTCTCTTCTGGATGAAATCGCGATACTTTTTCTTTTCTAAAAGGGGAAATTAAAAAACTATAAACTATACTCGATGGTTGAAAATTCTCTAGTGTAACATACGAGCTTCCTCTAACATTAAATTAATCATTTGGTCTCGCTTTCCAGTGTGTCCCAGGTCCATCGCCCGATGACCGGACATAAATGTCTGAATTATGTCGAATAGTTCACCATCCTTAGCTTTCAACGATTTGGTGAAAGAAGCTCGACGATTACAAACGCCGCCATAATTGAAGCCCATGTAAGGAACGTATGTATATCTTTCGGCTTTCAGAAAAGCTTGTCGTTGTTCCGAAATTAACGAGGAATTCAAAAGAGTCTTGTAGCAGGCTTGGGCATTGTAGAAGCGATAGCCAAATGTAACTAGCAGCTGTTCCGAGAACTTAAGGCATTTTCTGAACAAAATTTCAAAATTAGTTAAATTAATGGAACATTGTCGAGATACCCTACTCGTTATTCCGTAGCGTGTAGACACCCGGCAGCATGTGCGATCCCTTGTCGGTGTGCAGTAACTTGACCATCGCGTGAATGAGATCCTCGGCCAGAAGGCGCTGCATGATCTTAAGTTTAGTCAAATCGAACACATGTTTGCGGGACCACCAGCCCCGGAAGAGGGTCTGAATGCGAAGGGCGCATTTATTGTAGTATGCCATAACAGCTTCCTGCAATTTCTCCTCGACAAGGGATGTGTACATCCTTCTGCACATAAAGCCACGCCACCATCTTTGAATGACAATTGCCGATCTGTCTATATTTGACATGTGGCTGCGTACCAGCCAGCCGCGGACAAAGCGTTGTATGTTTCGAGCTGCCAAGAACTGCTTATAGTCCAACACGAGGCCTTCCGCGCTGCGCAATGAAACCCTTAGCTTATACACCTTTAGTTCTAGAGGATTGACCTACCGTGAAAGATTATTAGGTAAAGAATAAGCTTCGGAACCGTTCTCATCTTCGCAAAGAGTTTCATATTCACTCTCCACTATGACTTGCGTGATCCTTGACCTTTTTAAAGCAAAAATTATGTTTGAAATAAATGGATTGTTTTATTAATCTTACTCGTGGGAAACGTCGTGTCGGTACATCGTAGTTTTATTTATTTTTTTAATATTCAGGAGCTACTGTCGTGATGTTCTATGTTGAATGAGTAGAGGAATAATATTCAGAAAGAGTTCCGAGCACTTTACACAAAGTCCAACGCCTGCTAAGATAGCAGAAAAATACCAAAATAGCAGCCAATCCAACCCAACTTGGCCAAGTCTTTTTTGTCAACCTGAAATACACAATTTCTCCTAGATGGAAAAATATTTTCCAAAACTCTAATAACCCATTCATTAACAATAAAACTCAAGAACCAATTTTTGGGCCGAAAATTCACTTTATTAATTTTGTTTAATTTTTTTATTAATTTTATTAATTCACTTTTTAATTTTATCACAGCTGCTCCAGTTTTAGAAAAAGTTATATCCAGACCAGAATTTTGAACTCTATCTGATGAAGAACACAAATTAAAGAGGCCCTTTATCTTATTAAAGTAACCATACCATCCTACTCGCTGTTCATAGTGGAATTTGAAAGTTCTCCGGAACCATTATTTCTATCAGCACGTGTCATCTGTCAGAATAAAAAAAAGAAAAGAATATTTTATTTCATTATATATAATGAAAAAAAGAATATTTTATTTCATTATATATAATGAAAAAAAGAATATTTTATTTCATTATATATAATTTTCAGGAAATACATACCTGGGTGAGGTTTAAATAATTTTATATTAGAAAAAAAAAACAAAAAATTATTCACTTTTTGCTTAAAACTAATTCGACTATTTAAATTTTGTGGGGTTTTGGAGTTTTTTTTTTAGATGTTAATGGTTTGGGAGTTTGTTTGCTTCTGAGTTAAATGTTTGGAATAGTCTTATATTTGGGACTGACACTTTAGTACAGCCTACTGCATAGAATACGAAAAATCAGACTTTCTCTAGGAAGTTGTCAAGTAACGAATATATTTAATTTTTTACGAAAAAAAAAAATATACGATTTTGTTCTTTATGACAAATCCGAAGGACCAGGTAAAAATTAAATTCAGTCAGTTTCCTCCAACTGCGCCTCCGGCTGAGTCGGGAATTTAATTCATTTTTAATGCAGGTCTGACTCACTCGATACTCCCTCGATGGTGCAACTTTGCCACTCAATGGAATCATTTGCCAATGCACTCCGGTAGATCCCTGCTTCGGAGGCGGGGTGTGTTCCACAAGGAGGAAATCAAAAGTTAAAATAAACTTCGTAGTCCTTGTCGTCGCCGTACTTTCTGGTGCGTTTTGTTGTTCTTTTTTTTCGGTGCCTGCCGGGGAGCTCCTTATAAAGTTCCAGGATATCCGGTTGTTGTCTTCGGCGCTCATTTTTCGTCCTTATGCAGCGCCTTCATCTCTTCCACTCCGACCCCTTGCGAGCCCCGGTCGAGGCCCCTTGGCGCTGCATCCTTGTCTCGTTTAATGTTTCATTTATTTGTATTTTCGTAGTGAGGCACAAAAAAGAACCAAAGGAGTGAGTGCTGTTGCAAGAATGGGTGCTGTTGCAAGGACTTTGGTGTATTGCATTGTTCTTGAGTCCGCTGTTTTCACTATTTGACGCTTGTTTACTCATTTCCGGTTGCTGCTGGCATTGTGTCCTGGCAAAGGACGTTGCTTTGCATTGTGGCTCCTCCATGCTCCCTTGCTTGAATAGTGCAGAGCCAAAATACATTGTAGCTTCCATAGTTAAAATGCTTTAACGTAAATTTGGTTTCGTAGACGGCAAGTTTTCCGGCAGTAATGGCATCGTCAAGAGTTGAGCCATAATTTTATGATAATTACAAAAAATGCTACTTTCTTGTTATAATATTTATTACAAGAATATAAGGTGGCAATCTACTTAATTACGATACCCATCTTTAAAGCTAAGAGCTTAAAGTTTTTAAGGGTTTCCAATAAACCGAATGCCCAATTAAATAAAGCGCTTTGAAATCAATTGAAATTGCAAATTATTTCAATTTGAATCCGCCCCCCAGAAGCCTCAAGGTTGAACTTTCGCTCTTTCGCCTGCGGCGCGCAAATAAAAACTTTGCCAATGTGGTTTGCGCTTCTAATTTGCCCCAAGGCAAAGGCAATCAATCAATATTCATCAAAATGCTATTTAATTTGAATGCAACCGCCTTGCGCCGTAATGCCGTCACGTCCTCGTCCTTTCCCCTGGCCTTCGCCGCAATTTCTGACGGAAGGCACGCAGCTTTCATTACTCGCCGAACTTGGCGACAACGCGAACTTTGAAGTGCGGCAACGACATTGAGGAGCAGCTTCGGGGATACGGGGAAAGCGAAGCAAAGTGACAAGGCAAACTGGAGAGACGTGATGCAGCTCCCTGTTCTAGCTCAAATTTCAATCTATCAGGCTTCCAAGTTGCCACCACTCTCATCTCACCTTGAATATATTAGGCGACGTTAATTGCGGAAACTCGAAAACGAAAGGCACCTCTACTAAATTTTTATTAGATTCCCAAAAAAAATGATGATTCGTTAGCCTTGTATCTCAGGTAAACATCCCCTCATATGTATTTGTATGGATCGCACATATAACGACGATATAAAACTTCGATTGCTGGTTCATTTTGCTTCCATTTTTTTTGTAGAATACTTTATTGGTTCATTGATGAGGCAAACGGGGAAAAAAAGGGTCAGACGGGCTCTGACTCACAAATTGGCAGTTGTAAATTTCGTGATGCCCCTCAGACAAGCCAAATAGGTGGGTTTATTGAACCAAGTAGTTGGGGTGAGAGCGGTGAACGCTGATAAAAAATTGAAGGATGCCCGGATTGGGAAAATTTAAAGCTACGAACTAAGCTTTAAAATTATTTGAGTAGCGGTATTCAGGAGAGTATACACGCTGCATAATATTAAAGTTACTATTTTTTAGATAATTCCCAACGCATTATATTGCCTTGCCAGCCAATATAAATTTTATTGGCTTTACAGACGTACTTACACAATCCGTCTTTTCAAAAGGAACGGTCGAGAGGAAGAGGAAATAATTTTAAAGACCACAAAAAGCATGTCCTTGTGCTGAAAGTTAAGACCACTTAATGCACGCCAAAAGCAGTTTATGTGTGTATGTAATGCGGCCATGCTTGCCAGCTATATACAATGGCTCATAAATACGCTCACACATACAGCCACTTACATAGACACACACACGTACAGTGTCACAAACACACACACTTACATACACATGGCCAAACAAGGCCAACGACACATGTTTTAGGTTTTTGGCCCCTGAGCCAGCTTGAAGGCATCATTTAGAATCCCTACTTGCGTATGCGGTGTTAATAATGCCTTTGATGTGTGTTAAAGACAGCTTCAGACTACGACATCCAGAGTTAGTCATGTCCATTGTTGTTTTCCCATGCTGCCGGCTGCCTGCTGCATGTGAAGTCTGCCAAAATGTTGGAAAATGTAAACACAATCCGCTGGCAAATAGATTGCAAAGAAATGGTGCCACAACTGGGTAGTTGGATGAATTTATTTTGCACTTGTTCCAGCTTTCTTATAAGTCCAAAGCAGAAAAAAAAAATTTTTTTGAAATACATTTTATACCAATATCCAATTTCCTTATTGAATAATCAATATAAATATTTATTAATTGACTTTCATATTTAAGCCTAAGCATTAAATGGATCAGAAAATTGCTAAACGAGCCCAAGGGCTCCCACAACGTCGTTGTCGGAATATATTTTATGCGCCTTTACCTATCCCCACAAAAAGGAAGTTTTATATGCGTATTACGCATACGCAGTGTTGACAAATTTTCGTCTGCCCAAGTCGTTGCGAGGCTCTTGCCTTACCTGAGCCGCAGATGGGCAGTTGGCCTTAATGGTCTGTCACTGCCCCTGACCCTCTCTCCAGGCCTCGCCGAGAAACCAGGAAAGTAAGTCTATTAACGGCAATGACAAAGCACGCGAAAAGCTAATGGCGAGACTGGCTTGGCGGGGGGCGGTTAAGTAGTTTGGCAAGTCTATAAAAATGTATTAACTGCCGCCCCAGAAGGGGAGGTGAAAATAAAGTCATAAAAAGAAGTGCTGCGAGAATGGGCGTTGCTCCTTCAGCAAAACCAATGGCCGTAATATGATAATCATTGCGTAGGCCCACACCCACAAGGGGGGCGTGTGAAAAGTGGGCAAATGATACAAAACCATAGGCTGAGCTGGGGAAGTTTTCTTCTAGGCCAGCAGCAAATCCATTAAACCCTTATGATGCACGAGTACAAATAAAGTGAATGGAAGCCGGCAGACAATGGGTATGCCATGGGGTAATGCTGAAAACAAAGAAAAAACTGGAAAAATCGCTAGAAAACAAAAACATGTGGGCGCAAAGAGGGCGTGTCAAAGCATATGCGAAAAAAAGAGCAACCGCAAACAGAAACGGTAACTAAGAAGTCTGCAAAAGAGCCAGTGGGCCGGATGGGAGGTGAAAGGTCTTTTTTTTGGCGAGAAAGTGAGAGATAGACAGGGAGAGCAGCCCACAAAGTGAGCAAACACTTGAGTCAAGTGGTTAGCTGGTTAAAGCGGCTGACGGAACCCTGCCATGAATACCAGCGCGAGTGTGGGTGTGAATGCGAGTGTGTCAATGGGTGTGCGGGTGAGTGGATGACAGTGCGAATGTGAGTGCTGGCGGGCGAAAGTTCAGTCAAGTGCAATGCCAAAGAGGCCTAAAGGTTCTTTGCTGAAATTATAAACAGATGTAGGAAAGTAGATTAGGTGGATCAAGTCGGTACAAGTGGGTAAGTGGGCCAAGTGTCTCATGGCGAAGATAAGCTGTCGAGAATTATGTACAGTTGTGCAATATTACTCACGGCCACTTATTACTTTGCCACTAATAGTTACCTGGAAAGTTGAAACATTCGACTTATTTATTTTATTCTCGAACTAAAACAAAACGCAGTCGTCACATGGCATACGGGTCGTATGAGTTATGGTACAAATTACTCATACGCCCCGTACACCAGTCAATAAATATTTTGATAAGCCGACCAACACGACATAAAATAAATAATATTTTAATAAATGCAAGAGGTCGTATGAGTTATATTTTTTTTAAATACATACACATGTGCATATTAATTTTAAAATACGCATATGCTAACATTTAACTCATTTCACAAGTTTATAATAATAAGTATTGCAGCATTCCCCTAG